TATCTATTTTGAAAGAGGTCCCTTTCTTCATTATAGGGCCAGCATTTTTTTATGTTTAGGTTTAGTTATGAACATGAGAATATAAAAGTCCCAAAGGAGAAGGAAATAAATTTTTTTTTTTGATAAATCAATTATTAACATTTGTATATTCTTTTTTATGCTATCCTAATAGGCTCCTTACCACTGGACACATTATGCTTACAAAAAGGAAAATAGAACATTTAATTGCTTATTTCATCATCTGCCAGTTTGGAACAGTTATATAAATTTTTTGATGTTGATCAAAAAATATTTTTAAAAATCAATTCTTTAAAGTCTTTCAATAAATCTTCATTTTTTTAATATGTGTTATGCGAATGTGTAGACATTGTTCTAAAATTTACTGGATGCCTAAAGTTATAATTCCTATCATAAAACAGACAGGGAGTATTGGGGAGTATTGTGAAAAATTTTTGAATTAAGTGTAAAATAATTTTTTTTGGCTGATACAAATGATACTACATGCCTGTATATATTTATATATTCTTGCCTTTTAATAGTTGAATTTTTTTTATTTCTTCAGGTTATTGTTTATTTCTTCCTCAAATTAACTTCACTTCTCCCATAGATAAGTTTTATTCATTACATCTGATGCATAAGCAACCCTTTTCTGAAGAATGATGCTTAGACTGTAAGCTATAACAGAGACCTTAACAATGTCCCTGGCAATATGCAATAGCTACCATGGGCAGTTAAAAACCTGGGGAGGAAAATAATTTAATTACTTTTGAAACGAATACATCATTATCTCACCAGCATGTCATTGTGCAACAAAGTCGTCAGCATTTTATTTGTCCTTTGAACGGATGAAACGTTTTGAACGGCGCTCTTATCGATGACTTTTACACTAAACCAAGCTATAATCATTATCTTCTCAGATCTAGCTTTATTTACCCGCCGTTTCCTTGAGCGGAGGGTTTGTAAAACTCAAAATAAAATAAATCCTGGCCTTACATATGTAATTAGATCATTATCATATCAACCAGGGGCAAAGGATAAGATGTTCAAAGAATTCATGCATTTCACTATATAATCATTAGGGCCCCACCCTAAAAAAAGAACCCCTGACCCTGGGGCCATAAAATTCACAATTTTGGTAGAGGCACTCTTGCTCATCAAAACTATGTACTTAATTAGTTTATTTAATGCCCAGGAGCAGAGAAGAAGATTTTCAAAGAGTTCATGTATTTTCACTATATAATCTATAGAACCCCGCCCTAACACCAGAAATCCTGACCCTGGGGCCATAAAATTCACAATTTTAGTATAAGGACTCTTGCTCATCATAACTATTCACTTAGTTAGTTTATTTAATACCCAGGAGCAGAGAAGAAGATTTTCAAAGAATTCATGTATTTTCACTATATAATCAATAGAGTCCCGCCCTAACACCAGAACCCCTGACCCTGGGGCCATAAAATTCACAATTTTGGTAGAGGCACTCTTGCTCATCATAACTATGTACTTAGTTGGTTTATTTAATACATAGGAGCAGAGAAGAAGATTTTAAAAGAAATAATACGTTTTCACTACCTACTTATTTAGCCCCGCCCTAGCACTAAAACCCCTGACCCCAGGGCCATGAATTTCACAATTTTGGTAGAGGACTCATTGCTGATTACAATCATGCAAACAGTTTGACTGCTTGATGTCCAGGAGTAAAGAAGAAGATTTTTAAAGATTGCATTAATTTTAGTGGTTTTGGCCCCACCCCTCAGGCCCCAGGGGGGCAGGGACCATGAAATTCACAAATTTTGTTCCCCTTCACCCACAGATGCTGTATACAAAATTTGGTTGAATTTGTTATAGCGGTTTCAGAGAAGAAGCTGAAAATGTTCAAATGTTAACACACGACGAACGACGGACAAACACGGATGGCAATAGGTCACCTAAGTGACTCAGGTGACCTAAAAAAAAAAGATGACACTGATAAAAAAAAAATTACCCCATCCCCCCTCCACGATATAGGATTTTCAGGTTTTGAAAATGGTCATTTTCATTTTTTGTTGTCATTTTTTCAGGTTTGAAATCAATTTTCTCTTTGAATTAACTCCCCTCCCCACTTCCAATTTGCTTCCGACGCCAATGTCTACATCATGCAATATGATTAACTTTATAGATGAGGTCTGTTGAATAACTATGTGTAAAAACACATTTCTTTGAGAATTCAGAGACAATTTTGTTAAACATTTTCAATTAATTACACAATGCCTGATATTCGGAACTTGAAGATCAGACTACCGTTTATCGGTAAAATTGATTTGCAAACGAAACAAACGTTAAGTTTTCTGGATGGCGCTACTACTTAGTAACTACGGTGTCAGATGAGGGATACAGGACTGCAATGGGCGCAGAGAAGGTATAGAGACAATAAGTACTTACATCGTAAGAGTATGTAAACAAAGGGAAAACTTAATCATATTTGCCAATAAAAGTCAAGTGTAAAATTAATATGAATTTAAAAAAACAATAATACAGGATATGTGTATTTAAAAGCTTAAAGCCAACTGAATTAAATCCAGTTATTTAAAAAACTAGAAGCTTTACATTTATTAATATTTCCCAAATGTTCTGTTCCTGGCTGGACGCATTTGTGAATATTTTTTTTAGTCCGTTGCTTCAAGCAAAATGCAAAGGGTAACTAGAACGGCTGAAAGAATCCTGACTTGAAATATGATCTCCATTTTAGAAAAAAGAGAATATTTAAAATTGTGGCAATTTGTTTGACGTCTAACTGCAGATCACATTAAATATAGATACAGTTATGTTGAAGTACAATAAGTTCAACTAATTGGTCTATACAAGTCTCACCTTTCATGCTACCTGAATATCCGCTAATATGAAATACACCTGTAGATTATTTATCAGTTAATTGGATCTCTCAGGTAATTTTATAAGTCGAAAGGGAATGTCATTGAAAAGTTGTTCAAGACTGTGTGGAAGTGTTAATGGAAAGTCAGCATTAATCGTTATGTAACTGTACAGTGTACTCAAGATATACAGGATCTTTAATAAATCACACCGCCTTTCGTAACAAGTCATTGATATGTATTTTTTAAAATCCTATCATAATGATACCTCAAGAAGCCTTTGGGTTTTTTTCAGTGAAATTTTATACAACAAATCCCTGTGCCGCAAGGAAATTCCCTATAGATTTTGAGGTCAAAAGTTAAGGTTATAAATTAAAAAAAATCTCTGTTTTAAGACTTCCGCAATGATCAAGGTCGGTAAAATTGATTTGCAAACGAAACAAACAATAAGTTTTCTGGATGGCGCTGCTAGTTAGTAACTACGGTGTCAGATGAGGGATACAGGACTGCAATGGGCGCAGAGAAGGTATAGAGTCAATAAGTACTTACATGGTAAGAGTATGTAAACAAAGGAAAAACTTATTCATATTTGCCAATAAAAGTCAAGTGTAACGTTAATATGAATTTAAAAAATAACAATATTACAGGATATGTGGTTTTAAAAGCGTGAAAACCAACTGAATTAAATCCAGTTATTTAAAAAACTAGAAACCTTTACATTTATCAATATTTCCCAAATGTCCTGTTCCTGGCTGGACACATTTGTGAATAATTTTTTAGTCCGTTGCTTCAAGCAAAATGCAAAGGGTAACTAGAACGGCTGAAAGAATCCTGACTTGAAATATGATCTCCATTTTAGAAAAAAAGAGAATATTTAAAATTGTGGCAATTTGTTTGACGTCTAACTGCAGATCACATTAAATATAGATACAGTTATGTTGAAGTACAATAAGTTCAACTAATTGGTCTATACAAGTCTCACCTTTCATGCTACCTGAAAATCCGCTAATATGAAATACACCTGTAGATTATTTATCAGTTAATTGGATCTCTCAGGTAATTTTATAAGTCGAAAGGGAATGTCATTGAAAAGTTGTTCAAGACTGTGTGGAAGTGTTAATGGAAAGTCAGCATTAATCGTTATGTAACTGTACAGTGTACTCAAGATATACAGGATCTTTAATAAATCAACCGCCTTTCGTAACAAGTCATTGATATTTTTTAAAATCCCATCAGAATGATACCTCAAGAAGCCTTTGGGGGTTTTTTTTCAGTGAAATTTTATACAACAAATCCCTGTGCCGCAAGGAAATTCCCTATAGATTTTGAGGTCAAAAGTTAAGGTTATAAATTTAAAAAAAATCTCTGTTTTAAGACTTCCGCAATGATCAAGGTCGTAATTGCTTACACCTTGTGAGTGAGGGAGGGTGTGTGTGTAAAACTTTCATTTCCGGGCGATATCTCGAGTCTGATTTTTTTTTTTTGCAATTTAATTTTATACCATAGCTGTCTATGGCCATGTCCTACTTAAATTGCCACCTTCCCCCTTTGACCCCCCCCCCCCCCAGAACCGCATATGCTCTTCTTTTTTCCTTCAGCGGGCGACACAAGATTCTCTGAATAAGCTTGTTTTCACAGCATCTCACTCATTGAAGTTTAGATATTCTTATGACTGTCATCTTTTATGGTAGATTGCACTCCTCCAAATTAATGAAAATGCAACAGAATCTCCATTAATAAGTTAAGTCTTTTGTTCTTTTGCCCTCCTAGGAGAAATTAAGACCAATCAGATTTCAGAATGGTGTAAAAGCGTATTTTGCTAATGCTTACTTAAAACTTGCCAACAGAAAAAAAAAATTACACCCATTTTCAAACACTTTACAATCTGCAAAAAATCATCATTTGGAAGTTTGAATACTGATTTTATCAACTGAGAGAGAAAAAGAAATTAACTACAATTTTCGTTTAACAGAATAAATCAAAGAGCTCTTATGTAAAACTTTCCATTTTTTATTAGATTCATTATATCACAAAAATAGCTCCTTTTTTTAAAAAATAAAGGTAGTCCTGGTATGATATAATAATCATACCTAAGGCATATATATATATAGATATAATTGCAGTTACAAAAATAACCATAAAATACACGATGAAACTATATGAGTCAAAAATCACGTAAGCATATACATTAAAAACATGATTAACGTTCCTCGATGATCATGAATCATGAAAAAAGTGCTTTACTTTGCTTTGCTCCGCGGCCTTTTAAGATCATTCTGAAGAGTACGTTACCTCTGTGTCATCGGAAGTAACTTTTCGTTTGAGTTCGCTTGGTTTCTTTGGGGCTGGAATGGTCACGGATTCAAGTTCTGCGAACTGGTATAAGAATAAAAATGTATTCACAAAAATGGGTATCACCAGCGACAGCATGATAACCCCTGATACAGCACAAACACAACCCAACAATTTCCCCGCTATTGTCTTTGGAATCATATCACCGTATCCCACCGTTGTCATGGTGATCAATGTCCACCACCAGGCGTCCGGTATGCTTCGAAAATCTTCTGATAGCTCAAAAAAGAAAACAAGGTTAGAGAAAATCATCAGACCGATGAAAATGTACATGATAATGATACAGAGGTCCTTCTTTCCAACCTTGACTGAGTAGTTCAGGACTTTAAAGGCAAGCACGTGACGCATAACTCGGACAATTCTGAGAACACGAAACATTTGAACGTACAATAATAAGGACCAAGCGGTTCCATTATAATCTATTTCCAAGAAGTGGAGAACGAAACGGCAATAGCTGGCCAAAAGAAGCAGAATTTCAATAATATTCATCAAGCCATACGTGTACGCAAGTAATGCAGGGCAGGTAAGAATTCGCATCACCTGCTCAGCGGTGAAGAAAATTGTGGTGGCGATTTCTATGTAGAAGAACAAGGTCGTTCCTTGGTCAATTGTCTGCTGCAAAGAGGGGATCTTCTTGTGCACGGATTCTGGGAAAATACTAGTCATAAAATCCGAACCATCGCGTTCAATAGACTTGTTCAGACTTGCTGCCAAACTTTTTGAGGATGTGAGTTTGTCGTACAGAAGCTTGCAGTAGTCAGGGGGAGGAGAAGCCGTGGGTACTGCCTCAGGTGGAGCCTCCTTTACTCGGAATTCAGGTAACGTGCTAATGGCAACTCCGAATATAGACAGTAAAATGAAACTCGTAGACACGAAGAAATAGATCTGAAAAATAAAATATTAAATTGGAATTAAAAACTTGTTTTTCAAATGTTTTTATCTTTAATTCATGTTAAATATGAAGTGTGGAGCTTAAAGGCGGCAAGATAAGCTGGGACCGCTTCACGCTTGAGTGAAAGTGAACGCCGGGTTCAGAGCTGACCCCGAGCGAACACACGGCGAATCAAAGATCGCACCAAAAGCGCACCCATATTTTTTAACAGCAGACCCAAAGAAAACGCAAGGTGAACCCGAAGTTCGCTTTGATGGTTCGCTCTGTTCTTACATATACGTTATGTTTGGACGATACTGTACCTGGCGAAATTGTACACATTGTCACAACTGAAGTAATGGATCTCTTTAACCCCCCCCCCCCCCGCCCCCAAATGTTAAACTAATTTGAACATCGCCTTTGCCTTAAGAAGCCTGCTCACTTTTTTGAGCTTACATGTAAATTTTATTCAGTGCTAATAGTCCGTAAGTACCAAGTACAGCTATTACTCTGCAATCCTCCACTTTCAAGTGTTGTTGTCTGAATATGAAAGAAAACCTCTTGAAGGGTGTTGAACAAACAAACCCTTTTTAGGTCTTATTTAAAACTTAAGAGTCATTCACTTCAGGCCGTTAAGGAGTAACCATGTTTTTCATAGGAAAAAATACTTGATTTGAACCGAAAATGAGAAGATGACTGTTTAATTTATCGGTTATAAGAGTTACTGTTCGCTATCTGAGACAAATTTATCATAAAAGGAGAGACAATATTAATGCAGCTATCATGTTTATTAGATCTATATCTGATACAATCCCGAAAGACGGATTGACGTTTATCGGCTAAATCTTTTATAAAGTTAAAAAATGTTGCATTTTTAGAATGCAATATACTAAAATAAAATAAATTTCCAAAGTTATAATTATATAGAAAAACATTTGATACTTGATCACCATGATTAGATTAATAAAAGTTCAATCAGCCAAATACAGAGAGTAATTTTGTAAGGAAAAAGAAATTGTATTTGGACCATAACTAAGTTGGGTATACTGTTGCTGCCTCTGTACATGCCAGCAAATTAAGACTGAACACCGGCATCTGCAAAGACACGTTACATGATTCGATCATCACGCTGGTATGGTAAACTAAAATCGAACCCCTTAATCCCAAATTCGATGGAGTTGCCTGCGTGGCACAGTGATTAGAGTGTCTTCTATAGAGTTGCGAAGTAAGGAGTTGATCCTTTCGTCGCGGGTTCGAATCCCCCTGTGGGAGGTGGAGACCAGTCCTTCGGATGAGACCGTATAAACCGAGGTCCCGTGGCGCAGGAGGTGCTGGCACAAAAAAGATCCTCACTGCTCAGTGGTCCTTAGTGCCGAGCATAGGACAAATTTTGCAGCTCTCCACCGGTTAGTGGTGGCGTCTCCATATGAGTGAAACAAGTATATACTGACAAAACGTCAGAAAAACTCAAGCTGTAGAAAGTCAATTAGGAAGTGTCATTAATATCCTAAAATGGTATAAGATGTCAGAGGGCTATTGAGTTCAATCTTCTGTAAAATAAACTACATGTACTACATGTACACGAAACGAAAATTCATATATTAAATTTAATTAGAAGAAATATAATTAATCGTACGACTTTTTAAGATGAATTTACGTGACACACTTTCAGAAATATTTTATAGAGCATATTTAGTATACTTCAAACTATAAACGTTTTTTTGTATTTTTTGCTTAATGACGTACACGTGTACATCACATTCAATATATACATCAGTCTAAATATCTTGCTACAAGCCTGTAGAAAAGTTTTTCAAAGTGGACGGGGGAAGGGGGGCTCCGGGATCCAAAAAAATCCACGTGACTATGGGTTCATCCATCGTTGCAAACCCCATGGCCAAAATGTGCGATCCTCTCCTACTCCGGACCGTGGCTTGAGACGATGGGGTTCGTCTAGCTGAGCGGCATGTCCAATACATATTCCGATAAATCCAGAATAAATTATTATAATATAGGTTCCTTTACCAAAGCTTAAGATAATACGAAAATTTAACATTGATTTTGTGCTATTATTTAACTGTCACTCAAAGTACACATCATTTGCAGGTCCGTGAAAAGCAATACAGTCATACATTCTCTGGCCGTGCATTGTAGAATTTGTTAACGATGGGGTAACCTGCGTCATCTTTCAGAGTCTGCAGTGGACTCGTCCAAGGATGCTCTGTCGGCGACTGTAAAAAGTTACCTGAGATTCCTACGCAAAGGAAAGCGCGAAATCTCTGTATAGAAACTGATGCGGCTGCGGAGCTTCACTCATTGTTCATTCGCCATAGAAAAGAATCCGATATTTAACACTTAATATCTTTGAATATACGGACGTTTTCAAGATAAGCTTCATTTTTGTTTCTAGAAATATTTTTATCTACAAAAATAATATATTTTTGTGTTTTTAAACTGAGTTAATCGATGACCTAGCATCGTTTTAGATAACTCAAGCCCCTCTAGGGCTTGAGTAAAAATTCTTGAGAGGGATGTTAAACGGCATACAATCAATCAACCGACCAAACTCAATGGCCCCATGAACAACACGATTTTAGAGGAATCTCAAGAGATATCAAGCGTAAAATATTTTTTTTTTAAAAATAAGTGGTTGAGATTTTATCACTTGACATATCCATGATATTTGAAAATCTAATAGTAGCGATACAAAGTTCAGTTGTATTTCCTACGAAATAAATTGAAAAGGAATTGTTCGGTAGATGTAAGCAGCCTAAGAATCATTTTCATGGGCGAAGATAAGTACCAATCACAATTCTTTTTCCATTAATCTACATCTTTACCGCATACAGTTATCCGACCAAGGGGTCCAAAGAAACAACTTTTAGAATAATCCTTTTTATGACTTTCAGAAAAGACGGTTATTGTATATAGCGGTATTGGTCTGGATGCAAATTTTTCGCACAGAAGCATACACGATAAAATCATTAACGACGAATTAATTTCCGCTTTAATTCCAGATCATACACAAATCTATTAAATCTCTCGTATGTTTTTTTTTTATTTTCATGCTTTTTGATTATTTTTTACTGTTTCGAACTAAAAAGCATGTTCGTGTTAGTTATCCTACGTACATTTACATATCAATTCAGCTATGATATGATATACCGGTATTTTGTGTATCGTCGGATTCAAGAGAATGTAAAGATGAAGTGAGTCCCTTCACTTTCTTTTCTGTTGAAATGTTGGGAAAGTGATAACCTAATCAAAAGCGTTACATTAAGATATACATTAAACATTAAGATGACGCCCTTTTACTAGTTACTACAAATCGGAGAAAAACAAGATGTGTTTGTGAAACACTGATGCCCCCTGTGGCTGTATAGATAGTTTTCGATAGGCCTGAATTTAGCGAAAGTTACCTCCCGTTGGCCGCCATATTGGAGGTCGACTCAGTGATTTTCCCTCTTAGTCTTACCAAGTTTAAGAAAATATAGCAGAAATATTCGGTGGAAAATCTTTATCAAATAATTTTTTTTAAATAAAGGAGGCTTCCAAAAATTTATATACCTCAGAAAAATAATGATTTCTAATTCAAAATAGCAAATATAGAAATTTTAAATTGGTTGAACAATGAAGGAATATGAGCATTTGGACCTCCAGTATGGCGGCCAACGGGAAGTAACTCTTGGTCAATCGAAAACTATCTATTATGCAAAGATTGAAGTTTTTCAAATGTAAATCAAAGGTCAAAAACCCTGTGCCGGGTTCATTTTCTTTTTACGGCGGAGACACAATTCCAGTATAAAATACAAGCACCTCGCCCCGTCCTCTATGACCCATTTGTAAGACTACACGCTATCTCGCCCTTATTCAGGATTAATGCACCTTGTATCTCCCAATCCTCTGGTTGACTTTTCACCAGAGCTATGACTTCAACCCAAGTCTTCCTAACTTCTCTCTCTAATACTGTTTTTGGCCACTTCTTTTCTAAATTCTTGTTCACTTCGTTCCCGGAATAACCAATGCTGTGTCTCGGCAGCGCTTTATATACCCAAGGGCTATATCTATCCAATCAAGATTTCGGTCAATTTCATTAGTCCAGATTAGATCACTGTTTGGAAGGCATATGCTCATTGCTGTTGTATCATTTATAACTCAATACAAAGTAATGTTTTTCTTGGGGTTAAAAATTTCCATGTTTCATCCTACTACACTGTAAATACAGTATTAATATAACATCGCGTGTAAACATTAGATACAAGAATAGAGTAAATATTAGATATCAAGTATCAATTATGTATTCCAATAAATACATCTCTTAATTGAAACTACTGATTGCAACTGCCAACTGCTGCGAGCTAACACCGTGAATTATTGACTGCCATTGCGTTCACATATTATTGTAAATGTAAATAGGTTTATATATAGGTTTATAATGATAATAATGTTCGAACAAATTCTTTGTAAGTTATAATGTAACAACAAAGCAGACCTGGGCAGATCAGGAATGAGTGGGGGTTAGCGGAGGGTCTTTTTATTCGTCTCGCTTGTTGACTGCATCAAGAAATTTTCTACAAAATAAACTTTCAAATCGAAAGAACTATGGATATCGATGCACTGGGAACAGATAACGAAAATAGAGAAAGACTGTCTGAGTTTAGTCAGACCAACGGACTAGTAATCACAGGAACACTATTTCCCCACAAAGATAAACCCAAAGCAACATTGGTGTCTGCTACTGGAACAGCGAGAAACTATATGGACCATCTCATCAGCGGACAGTGGAGATCTTCTATTCTTAACACCAAGGTTCAGACGGGAGCAGATGCAAACAGCGACCATTACCTGGTGAAGACCAGAATCAGGCTACGGCTCAGCACACACAAGAATAAGAACAAGTTAAAACCAAGATTGGATGTAGAACGCCTAAAAAACAACGAAGTAAAAGCAAAGTTCAATAATTGTGTGAGAAAAAATTAGAAGAACACAGAGAATAGACTGAAGATATCGAGAAAATTCGGAAACGGCAGGAGTGACATATGTGAATTCAGCAGAGGAAGTACTTGGATACAGGGAAGACAAAAGTAAACCTTGGATCAGCAAAAATACCTGGAAGCTGATAGATGAAAGAAAAGACAAAGATAGAGAGCAAAAGATCAGAAAAACTTAAGACAATGATGAAGGAAAATTACAGGGAAAAAGACAAAGCAGTCAAGAAAAGTGCGAGAGAGGACAAGAGTAGATGGATGGAAGAGAAAGCTGAGCGAGCACAGAAAGCAGCCGAGAACGGTAGGCAGAAGGAACTGTACAGCATAATAAAACAGCTGACAAGAAAGAGTAATAAACAAGCAGCAGAGTGAAGAGCAAAGATGGAGAGCTGCTGAAAAATAAAGAAACGAGGCTTGCCAGATGGAAGGAACATTTTGAGGAAGTACACAATAGAGACACTCAAGAGTGACCACCACAAGATGGACATGATGGAGGATAAGAGCTAGACATCTCAGTTGAGCCACCCACCTTGCAGGAAATAAGGACTGCACTGAAGACGCTTCGGAATGGGAATGCCCGCGGAGCAGATCAAATAACTGCAGAAATGTTAAAGGCAGACCTTGATAAAAGCAGCCAGAAATTGAAGCACACCTTTGACCGGATATGGAAGGAGGAAAAGGTGCCCAAAGAATGGACAAGCGGACTGATCTGTAAACTTACAGGACTGCAGCAACTGGAGAGGAGTCACATTGCTGCCCCTAGCCAGCAAAGCAGGATCATCATTAACAGAATACAGGCTGGAATTGACCACACCCGGAGGAAAGAGTAGGCAGGGTTTTGGAGAGGGAGAGGGACTGTAAACCAGATCTTCATCCTAGGAAACATCTTAGAGCAAGTCAACAAGTGGAATGCTACACCGTACTTTTTGGACTTTGATAAAGCTTTCGACTCGGTGCACAGAGACAGTTTTTGGGTCATCGTGAAGAAATATGGAATACTCAGAAAACTGATTATGATGGTCAAAGCCCTGTATGACAAATTTCAGTGCTCTGTGATTGATGAAAACAAGACCACAGACCATTTTCCTGTGATAACTGGTGTTAAAC